CTAAACCGCTGCACCCTAAACCCCATTCCTGCGAGCTGAGACAAGGCCAAAGCCCCATCGCCCGACACGAGCTCGAGCAGTAGCCTTGGAACAACCCACATACGACCCTATAAAGACACGGCTGAAAACCTAAACCCTAAACCCTGAACCCTAAGAACAGTATGATCCGCATAGAATAGCAGCCGACAGCCGGTTTAAGTCTCCATAAGAGAGGATGCGTATAAAACATCATCAAGAGGCAGTAACCACGTATACAACGCTCTAAGAGCCTTAAAGCATTTTAGCCACCTTAAGTATAAGAACCCCGCAAAGATCCTGGCAAAACATTGCCTTGTAACACCTCCAGAGAGCATCAGCTTTTAAGGCATGAGACGCAAGAACCTCAAACAACTGCTCCGCTACTATTTTGGCTATTATTAGTTGTACGATTATTGTCATTATTGTTCATATTCTTTCTCTTATTCTTCAGCGCTCAGATTTGGTCTACGGCCTGCCGCTGCCTGGCCATGCACTGCGCGGCCTTCGCGGCCCTGCGCAGGGACGGCACCGTCGTGACCTGGGGATGCGACTCGAAGTCTTTGGACTTTGCAGGGAGGGTGTAGGGTTTAGAGTTTAGAGTTTAGGGTTTAGTGTTTAGGGTTTAGGGTTTAGGGTTTAGGGTTTAGAGTTTAGGGTTTAGAGTTTAGGGTTTAGGGTTTAGGGTGGTCTAAAGGTTTATCAAGGCATCTCCCGCCATTCTAAGGGTGGGGACGAGCGTCAACCCTAACTTCTGTAGAGGCCTGAATACTTAGTAACACTGTTTCTTCGGGTTCCTGGATCTGAAAACTTATACCAAAATACCTCCCTCCAGCATGTCTCCCATCACCGTATTCTTCATGTGACATCCTGTGCCTTACTCCCTACATCCTTACCTCAAAAGCTTGAAGTTTAGCGCAGTTTACGAGCGCTCCCCAACCTTCAAATCTCACAGATCTGGGGAGCAGCTCAAGGCTTGGGGTTTGGGGCATAGGGTTTAGGGTGGAGGGTTCCGGGTGTAGGGTTTAGAGCTTGGGGTTTATGGTTTAGGGTTCAGGGTCCCAGCTCACGCCCTACTACGTGGTTTCGAGCTTGCAATCTACTTGATACTATAATCGGGTACATGAGCAGTATTGCTGGTCCGTATGCTTCCTTTCCAAATTGCAAATCTTTTGTGATACCCCAACGCCTCGATCGAATGATAAAGGTTCTTACACCCTGATCGATAGCCAAACATTGATCCTAAGCCTAAACCCGAACCATCAGGTCGAACCCGAAACCTCGAGCCCTAAACGCTGAATCTTAAACCCGACACCCCGACCCTGGGTTGTTATGGTTCTTAACATGAATCCTAACATAATGGGGTCACACGGCCAGGGTTTCTTCATCAGGTTCCTACATCAAGCCCTTAGGCCTAGGCCCGCAGCCTGAATACCCTTCCCAACGTCACAGGAGGCCAAAAGTGGTTTTAGCCTATGGGGGTTTAGTAGGGATTAGGGTTCCCATAGTAGGGTTCATATTAAGGCATCCCTGCCCCAAGAATCTTAAACCCCCCTTTTGGCCGCCCATCCCAAGGTGCAGCCTACGGAGGGGACAGTCAAGCAGTGCAGTCACAGCTTCGCAACGTGCAGCAGATCGAGGCCTGGAGCTTCTTCTTCCTTTTGAGCCTCGAAGTTGGGCTTAACTTAGCTTTGGTAAGTAGGGAATGGAGGAATGGGGTACATTGTAACTACTATTACTACCATTCTTCCATTCCCTACGAACCAAAGGTAGGTCTGAGCCTCAAAGTTGGGTTTAGGGCTTAACAGGTTTTGTTTTCAGGGTTTCCGGCTGTGTGCTTTTTTCTTTTTGTATATAGGGATTTCTAGGTTTAGATTTTTTATAGGGATTTCTATGTTTAGGGTTAACGGCCTTATCGCGTCGAGTTCAAGGTTTAGGAAAGCCTATACCTCAAGCCCTAACTGCTAGCGCCAGCTTCAACTCCAAACTGTAAACATTAGCTACTATTTGCTTAAGAACCACCCAAAAAATAAAAAATGATAATCCCTATATTATCCCTATAAGGAATACATTTTTTATTTTTTGGGGGTTCTTAAGCAAATAGTAGTTAGGCCCTAATTCAAGCGGCTCTAAGGGTGGGATGAAGGTCGACAGGGTAATTCCAAAATAAGAGTCCTTATTTTTCCGAAAATTAGGTTATCTTATTTTGGGGGCCTTAAAAAAATGAGAGTCCTACTTTTTAGGGCCTACATTTAGGGTGCTATTTTAGATTTTCGGAAACTCCCCATATAAGGGAGCCTTGATCCTACCGACCTTCATCCCAGCTTTTGAGGCCACCAATAGTGACCCAAGCCTAAGCCTTTCTTGTAAGACTAAACCCTTAAGTCCGCCTTAACCCTTGGTTTAGGGTTTAAGGGTTTAGGGTTTAGGGTTTAGGGTTTAGGGTTTAGGGTTTAGGGTTTAGGGTTTAGGGTTTAGGGTTTAGGGTTTAGGGTTTAGGGTTTAGGGTTTAGGGTTTAGGGTTTAGGGTTTAGGGGCCTTCGCCCTCAAGTCAGCCTCAACCCTTAGTTAAGCCGAAACCTAATCACGGAAACCGGCTCTCGAGCGTCAAAGATACTCTGACCAATATACGAACGTAGAGACATGTATGGTGCATGTGTGTATATAAACACACATACACATGCAGATGTGTGCTGTTTCGACATCATGGTGGACGTCGCCTGCAAATGCTTTGACCAGCAGTGTGTCTTTTTCAAGGAGCCGCTGCTATCCCAATCCCTAACCGAACCCTGAACCCTGAGTCCTAAACCCAAACCCATAAACCATAAACCATAAACCCTGTACACCTCTACTGTGCGGCCCAAAGCCATCCTTAAGCCGAGGCTCTGCAATCCAAACCGCCTCTTTACCTGACTGGGGCTCAAGAATCTTGTGTACTGCCCCCACCAGTAACAGTTGGATAATATTCATGTTGTAGATATATTAGGACCTTAGTAGTAGCCCCATTATAGACTGTTACTGTACGGGGGGGCAGTATCCAACATGAATCTTCGTCGAACTTCGCAAGGCTCTGGGACCCATCAACTCTGCCCACCCTTCTCCAAAATTCGAGACTCTCCTTCACTCACCCTCTCCTCTACCATAAGGGCCTTGATAATTGCCTATACCATGGTGGGGGTTCCGTATTTTTACTATAGTATAATTTTCTCTCAAAACCTATTCTGATTATGGAGGCATAAAATACTCCCCATCTCCGTTTGAGGCCACCGTCGGAGCCTTCGCAGCACAAAGGGAGGACGGCTCTGTGGAGCCTTGGATTATGATTGAAACCCCTACAGAAGTTGGCCCCACAATGCTGCGGCTGATGATATAAATCCTGCATTGCCCATAATAAGGAATATACCATAACTCCCATAAGTTTAGGGTCCTTCAGGTCATGCAGGGATTTTGTATCATCATCTGCAAGAGCCCCTCTGAGCCCCAAGTGAAATCCGGAGCAAAGCCCCAAACACACCCGAACAGGCCCTAGGAATCACAGCAAAAGCCACACCCTAGAGTTCTCCCCACTCCCCGCCCGCTCTGGGCAAGAGCACGTTGGAATCGAGCCTGCTTGCGATAGTATGTAAATATGTATATATATATATATATATATATATATATATATATATATATGTGTATATGTTTTTGTATATATTTTGTATGTATGTATATATATATATATATGTGTACATTAAAAAACATACATATATATATATACACACATACATATATATATATATATATATATGTATGCAATGTTCAGCATACTCCCTAGACCCTTACAAGCACCTACAGCCAGCCAATCAAAACCCCTCAGAGACCAAAGCCTCAAACACCCCAAAGCTGCAGATCACCTGGGGCCACCGCGCCTTCGGTGGGGACTCGGGATCCGTTCAGCACCTGCTGAAGGACGTACGGCAGGTTCGGACATGTATGGTTTTCATATATAACATACAGCCACTTCGTAAGGTAGGGTGTAGGCTTTTTAGGGCTTAGGCTTTTTAAGGTTTAGGGTTTAGGATGTATTAGGCTGTTGTAAATGGCTTTGAAGGGTACGGGTTTAGGTTGGCACAGGGAGTTTGAGCCTGAAGCCTTCAAAACCCCAAAGAGGCTGCAGATACTTTAGCCCAAACCTTACGGCGCAATTCCCATGCCTGTTCATAGGAGGCCAAAAGAATTTTTAGCCTATGGGGGTTTAGTAGAGATTAGGGTTCCCATAATAGGGTTCACATGAAGGAATCCCTACCCCGAGAATCTTAAACCCCCTTTGGCCTCCCATCACTTGTTTCCAGTTGAGATGTTGAGGTGTAGCTGGCTGTCCAAGTCCTCACACCCTTCGTGAGCTCCAAAACCGACAACCTGCAAGTCCCCCTAGTACAACTATATAGAACCTATTCCAACCATATACGGTTTACATGCCTTTAATTTTCAAGACAAGACCTCGCACCCCTGAAGGTCCGTGCCACACTTGGGGCATTTGCTGGACTCTGCGCGGATGGTTCTGTGGTCAGTTGGGGCTTGGAGGCTGATCCTACAGTCTTGTTTGCCCCGTGCTGCTGGGGAGTGTCTAGACCAGGCGGTCCTGAAATCCTAATCTGGGCCTTGAAAAAGCAGTACGTATACCTCCTAAGCAAGAACGCTATGGTGCACCCGAAGCCGTCTTCGAACTTTCAGGCTTGCAAGCCACAGAACTTACGGGAGCTCGATGGAATTCTCAGGGTTCTGTATCTGCATTACTATATGGTTTTGCTATATATATATATATACATATATTATATATGTAATATGTATACCAGGGTTGCTACAAGGGCTCCAGTGCAAAACGTATCATAAAGCGCTTGAATATGCTTGCATTTCCGTTCTGCCAGATGATCTCTGGAAACGACTTGCCTTTGGACGTGCTGCAGAACGTCAAGGACCGAGAAGGGCTCTTTAAAGGAGGATGAGGGTCTTAAGGCTTGCCCTAAGGGACCCAAACCCGCCCTAAACCCCAAACCTTAAACCCAAATGGCTATGGCTCAAGCTGTTGTGCCCGAGGCCCTGCCAGGTGAGGTGTAGTCGGCTTCCCGCCCTCTCCTCCATCTCTTTGCTCCTGTGGCGTTCCTGTACTCCCTGTGCTTCCTGACTGCCGCGTACGCGTTCATCCCCCGCTACCTGATCCTTCGGAAGATCCACGTTGGCGAGTCATTGACTTGGGTGAGTTCTACCTTCGTGTTCCGGGTGTGTACGCTGGGTGAAGAGGAACTGCGTGGGAGAGAAATTTGGTCACTTACTTGTTCGATTGATTGCCTCGTCATTGGGGTGACTTCTACCTGCACCTGCACTTCATCTTTGGGGTGACTTCTGCCTGGATCTGCGCTTTGTTAGCTTCGTTGTCCTTTATTTGGATCCGCACTTCGTCTTTGGGGGTGACTTCTACCTGGACCCGCACTTTGTCATCTTCATCCTGAGCGAGCCTGTCTTCGACCTCCTGGACTGAGTCGGCACACCTGGCCGCTCCGAGTGCCTCAGTTGTTCGTCATCTGGAGGGGTGGGTGTTGTTTCCTCTTCGTGGTGAGCGATGGCAGACAACGCTGAAACGCAATTGGGATCGTCACAGTTCCTGGGCATGCAGGTGGATGGCGAAGGCATCAAGCAAGAAGGCGAAGCCCCGCACGCCCATGTTATTGGATCGCCCACAGAGATCGCCGATGAGCCCTCTGAACCAGAAGAAGGAGATGTAGACATGCCCGTGAAACTGGAGAAAAGGAAGAGACGAGAGTCCGCTGGAAGTGTTCCGAATGCACATGTTCAACCGGTACCTGACTCTGACGAGGATGAGGAAAATGACAGTCCTTCTAAACGTCCACTTCTTTGTGATGACAAACCTCTCACGGCGGGTGAAATTAGAGACTTGCTTTTTGGACATGTACGAGAGATGAGAACTGCTTGGCATTCATTTCAGGGTCGACTTGATGCCGTCGAGAAAGAGCAGGCCAAATCCTCCTTCGAAGTTACGAACCTGCAGACTAGAACCAGGGTCCTTGAAAAAGATGTGGGACAGCACAAGCAGACGGTCCAGACCCAGCCCAAGGCCCTAGAGAACCTGACTTTGGAGGTCAAGAACATGCAAGTGAAGATTGATGATCTGTCTGCCAAACAAAACGCTGGCCCCGCCCCTCCCGTCCCAGCAGGGCCGGCAGATGGACAACATGGTGATCCCTGGAGTGAGTATCTACGACAGCGAGGTGGAGCGAGTTCTGATCGGAAGGACGGTGTCCGTGCTTCTCATGGCGCGCCTGATGACAAAGGCGATGTTCTTTCGGAAGAAGACAAAAAGACCCTCGTGTTCGGCGGCTGGCTTCAAGACACCAAACGTGGGGTGATTGAAGAAGAGTCTGCCACCATCCTCAACCTCCCTGACATCAAGGGGCTGATCGATAGCGAGAAGTTACAGATCTTCGGACCGAGACGCTCTGTGGGCTTGCTTCGCTTTGTGATACGGGAGGGTGAAACTTTCCAGAACACCAAGAACAGAATGTGGGAAGTCATCAAGGCGCTGAGCAAGATCAAGCATGTGTTGCCCAGCACCCGTGCCTGTGGTGAAGAGAAGACAATGTGGGCGTCTTTCGTCAAGACCCGCAATGCCCGTACGAGAAGCTCCCATGTCAGTTTGGTGCGTCGTGTTGCCATTGCACTCGCCAAAGACAACACCGACGATGGGGTGAACTCCATTGTGGGAGGCGGAACGAAAAGCTAGGAAGCAGTACGCACAGGAAGGTCAAGGGCAACGATGAGTTCGTGACCATGAGTGGTGGCTGGGTGAACATCTCAGCTGTGGCGCGTGTGGCAGGGTGCTCCTCTGACGATGCCAGGGGTGCATTTGAACGGGAATTGTGAAAGCAGACAGCTGCAAGTTTCACCCCAGATTCGAATTTGGTCTCTCTACCGGGTGATCTTCTTGCCAGTCCTAAGGAACGTGAGAAGAATGTGCCTTGTCCGCGTGCAAGATGCAGATGGGGCCGGGCATGTACCTGGAATTTGGGAGGACAAAATGCAAGCCTGCTAGATGTTGCCTGTCGGGATTGTGACATTCTCTTGGTTCAAGAATTTGCACGTGAAGGCTCTGGGTGGTCCACCTTCGAGACGGATGAATTTCACTGGGTCGCACATCGGGACCCTCGTCACTGGCGTGGGGTGGGAACTGGAATTGCCTTGGACAAGTTTGATTCGATCCTGTGGAAATCTGCTGCTGAAAGGGGTGTATGGGTCGTTGCACGCATTCTTGGTCTCGGCCGTGTCATTCTAGGTTCAGTACATTGCCACACGGGGGTCACCACGGCCGTCTACCAAGCAGCCGTCCAAGAATTCGTTCGACTTTGTCCTCGCAAATATCGGCACCTCCCTGTCCTTTGTGGCGCCGATGCCAATGAGACACCCCTCTGGGTCGATAGTGAACAAGAGCCTAACCGCTTGCACATTGGTGACTGCAGCAGCAATCTCAACACGATGATCCATGAGATGCTGCAACATGGCATTCACCCTGTTGCACCCGTACCTGAACAGCAGAACTGGCCGACACACTTCCCTCGAGATGAGTCGCGAGTTGGCCGTCAGATTGACATGATTCTAACACGCCTGCTTGACGCCCAGCCTGTGCAGATTGAGGCTGACAGACGACATGTTGTAGGGTCCGATCATGCGATCGTCATCGCTGACATCTTCATTACTGGCTCTTCCGCTCGTACCGTTTGGGGCAATGACTCGAGAGCGAGATGGATCTCCAGTGAACTTCCCTGTACCACCATTGTTGATGAAGATGACCTCATCCAGATCGCCAAATCCTGCAGCAAGCCTCGATCGTCTCGCAAGTTTCGCGACAGCCAAGAGACGAAAGATGCCATTCGAGATGCCAGATCCTCCAATGCGCCAGCCGATTGGAAACGTGTCCATCGCATCCGGAAGCAAGAACGCCGCATGTGGAGTCAGAACCGTTTGTCAAGGATCCTGCATGGTGATTGGGATGAATATCGCAACCTACAGAATGACAAAAAGAGGTGCCGAGGGTGGTGGGGTGAAATGCTCGCAGAAAGTGGTGCCAAGGATCTAGCCAACCAGATCACTGAACATCTCGCTGCAAAGATGACAAACCCCAACAAGACGTCGCTTGCATGGGAAAGAGAACTTGATGAGATGATCAGCGCCTCTGCCGAGTCTGGTGTTTTCATTCCTTTCACCATCTTGGAAGTTCGGACAGAACTACAGGGGATGAAGTGCAAGAGCGCAGTTGGTCCCGATGGCATTGGTGTTCATCTTCTCCGTGGGCTTGCTGACGATGATTGTCTTGGCCCGCAGCTTCTAAGTCTCATCAATCACATTGTAGAAAGTCGCGAGCTACCGCCGAGTTGGGAGAAGAGTTTCCTCGCCCTCCTTGCTAAGTGTCTTAATCCTCGTACGCCTGGTGATCTTCGTCCTATCTGTGTCTCCTCGGCCTTCCGCAAGTTGGTTAATCGACTCGTTTGTACAAGAGCCCTCCCTATCATGCGTCGTGGATCGAAGATCAGCTGCTGTGGTAAAGGCCGACAAGCAGCCGATCTCATCGGAACTATATCCAGGATGCGTGACGTCACCAAGGAGTGGCGGCACCCTCTCATTCTGTGCAAACTGGACGTTTCGGGTGCATTTGATCGTGTTGACCGAGCAAAAGTTGCCAATTTGCTACGTTCTCGTCTTCGAGGCAAAGGGGTGAGTTTTGAACTTCGCTATTTACCTGCCCAGCTCGCCACGCATGAACTGATTGGGAATGCACCCGGCGGTCAGTCGGTGCGACTTCGGCCTGATAATGGAATTAAACAGGGCGCTCCTGAAAGTGCCGAACTGTTTGGTCTAGTCGTCGACTCCCTTCTCTCAGAGTTAGTTCACTGTGGGCACTGGCTGAACATGGGGCAGCCCATCTCAGGGGTCGACTTGGATCTGCTCTTCTATCAGGATGACGTCTTTTTGATCGAGACCAACTTCGCGCGGCTTTGCAAGAGGGTGACAGTTGTAGATCGATGTCTTCGGCAAGCGGGGTTGACTTTGGCAAAGAACAAGACCAAGATCATCGCCAACGAGCACTACACTGGCTGCAGGAAGGCACGCATTGGGGATGACATCTTCGAGATCGCACCTCGGGGTGACTCGCTGAAGGTGCTTGGCTTGGCGTTTTCCTTAGATCATGATGCGTCTGAGCAAGCACGTGAACTCATCGGGCGCACTAGGGACGCTGCCGCCGCACACCGGGACATTCTCCAGGCTCCTGGGGCATGGCGCCATAAGATCTCGATCATGCGGACGTTACTCGAGTCCCAGTTCAATTGGACTGGTGGGGCGATCCACTGGAGCAAGGATGACCTCCACACGATGAACGTCCTCCAACTACAGACTTGCCGTTCGTCCTTTGGTCTGCGCCGTGCAAGGGAGGAGTCGTGGCTTGATTGGAATCAAAGAACCATGCGTTTCCTTCGCCTGTGGCTTCACAGCAATCAAGTCCCTCGATGGTCGGAGCGCATCCTCACTCTTCAGCATACTCTTCACGGCCATTGGGCACGTCGTGTCGAAATAGTTCGTGGACGTGCTCGTGCCTGTGCTCCTATGCGCGCTGTCACCTGGAGAAATACGGCCTGGTGGAGAGAACAGCAGTCTCTCAGTAAGTCAGTCTCGCTTCGTCATCCATGCCACTTCTACGCTTCCAATGCTGAACGCCAACTGGCGTATAGCAATGGGGTGTGCTGGCACGTGACTGCGCAGGATAGATGCTGCTCGTGCAAAATATGTCCGAGAATGGGATGTCCGGTGGAGCTCTGGACGTCAACTTTCGATCCGTTGTTAGTTTGGACACAAGACTTACCACAAGACTTACTGCTTGTGAAGATGAAGCCTTTTGCTGGGGGGCTGATGTGCACAAGTGATGAGTGTTGTACTACAA